AACTAGTATCGGGCCGTTAGCCGTTTCCTTCGGTCAGCCGAGAGCCCTTCGCCCGCCTGCCTAAATTACCGCTACGGGGGAGTTGAGCCCGGGGGAGTTTGGCTGGCCCTTTACTCGTTTGTCCGGCCAGCCAAACTCCGTGCTAGACTCCCCCGTAGCGGTAATTTACACCAGCGGGCGAAGGGCTCTTGCGGCCCGGAAAACGAGTTTGGTTTCCAGGGTAATATAAATAGTGAACGTAAACTAGAAGCAATATTGCCTTCCCCTTCGCTTTGTCTGCCAATACAATAGTTTTTCACGTAATATATAGTAGCGCATCTTTTTTTATTTTCCATGCAGAAAAGCATATGGTTTAATTTCCTTACAACATGTCTAACAACGATCTTTTTTATTTGTTTGGAAGGTGCCACCTGCCAGTCGTGCCCAGCAGGTCGGTACAACCCACAGGGAGGAGCGACCAGCTGTCCACTGTGCCCAGCCGGGCGGTTCAGTCCCGGCCCTGGCTCCACCGGCTGCAACCTTGCGCGGCTGGCACGTACAGCCCTAGCGCTGGCTCCACCGGCTGTACGCGCTGCCCTGCCGGACAAATCAGCACCGCGAGCGGAGCGACTGGTTGTCAGCGCTGCCCAGCTGGACAGCACAACCCCACCGCCGGGTCATCCTCATGCTATGTCTGCCCTGCCGGGCGATACAGCTCCAGCGAGGGATCTGCTAGCTGCCAGGCCTGCGCCGCCGGAAGGTACAGCTCCAGTCCTGGGTCTACAGGCTGTCCACTCTGCCCTGCCGGACAGTACAGCGCAACTACTGGTTCTATCAGCTGTCAGACCTGTGCGGCTGGCAGCACGAGTGTCGCGGGTGCAACGGGCTGCACGTGTGAGAGCACACTTCATTCTTCAACATAGACAAAATCGCCTAATTATGTTTATCGAAGGAAAACATATTGTTTTAACTCAGTTTCCTCCTCCTCCTCTTCTGTTCCAAACACTAACCTCTGTCTGACCTGGCCGATTTGTTGACGTCTGCCACCATGGTGACTGGTGTTGGGTTACATAATGTTGCAATTGCATGGTCTGCTCTACTCCTGGTCACCATATACTAGTAGTATGTGAATGTGTTTGAGTAAAGATTAACAGGGCAGACCATGTCCGAAGGTAAACATTATGCATTTGCTTTGCAAATGTTACTTCTCGAGTTTGTTTATCATTTGCATAGATCTAGAAATACGGACAGGTTGACCATACATTAATTACACTTATTTACATCTAGCCAACAACGAATGCCAGTCCAACCCCTGCCAGAATGGAGGACAGTGTGTGGATGGGAGTAACCGCTACGATTGCAATTGCCCGGCCGGGTTTGTGGGAACGAACTGTCAGACAAGTAGGTACACATTCAACCTTCAACTTTACAACTTAAAGTTTAAAGTCTTAAACTGTAGGTTTAAACATTACATTTTAGAGCAGACGGTTACAGATTAGCCTATAATGATGGATTGTACATGTTCGTAGACGTAAAAACTAGAAGAGTAGGTAAAGATTCAAGATTTCAAGTGCAAAGAATTCTCTATGTGCTAGGTCCTTAGTTGAGGAATGTTGCAGGGGTCAAATACACATTCGGATTTGTTTAGTACTTACTTGTAAAATGCCAAAGCAACTGGGGTCCATGTTATATGTGAAAACTCGGAGATTAAGACTCTGTCATAATGATTGGACCCTTATATCAAGATTAGACTTTAGATAGCTGATAAAGACTGTAGGATTTGGTCTTAAAAGTCTTATCAATTTTGGAAAGTATTTAATTTTCACTAACATAAATTTGATTATGTATACCTTCTACCTTTGGTACACAGAAGAAACTTCGCAGTAGTCAAAAAGTTTGTCGTAGTCAATTTAAGTGGATATCGTATTGAAATTAAGGCGCATTTTTAAACCACTGTACTAACAGCTGTTGGATTTGTGTAGAGCCAAACATTACTAGTACTATCATCGAGCCCTCTGTACTAATACTTACTAATACTCACATAGCTAATGCCATGCAAGAACGAACATATGGTAGATAAAGTATGTAGGTATGTTACTGCGTGTTTCAAGTAGAGAGAAGAAACAGTGATAATTAGTAGATAAACAATATTACACAGTGGTATTTGAATAGATTTTAATATCTAGCGTTAGAATATAGTATTTTTAGTGTCGAACTGTTCTGTATTCATGTCTTCCATGTTCTAGACTACATATATGGTCACGTGCATTTAGTCCATCTAGACAGGAATCTACAATAAAAATTCATATCATATCACTAATCATAGGTGTAAAACTAACTTATTTGACATCGTTGCTTAATTTTTCCTAAGATCTGTTACAAGATGTCGACGGATACGTCCTGCGCCTTGGAGACTGTCCTGGGAATGACGTCTGGTCTGGGTCGGCAAGTCTGGAAGGCTATGCGAATGAGTGCAATAGATATTCGACCTGCAGGGCCTTCTTGTTTGCGTCTAACGTCAATCATTGCTACTTAAAGTCCGAGACTTGCAGTTCTCCAACTACTGCCAACGCGAATGCCGTGTTCTACGACAAGATAGGTGATAATTTTGTGAATGGCTTTCTCTTGTTGGTTTGTAAATGCTAGGAAAAAGTTTTCACAGAGAAGTTTTTACTATATGGAGATCTTCCCTGGCTTCCATGATTTTAGTAACTTGTAATTGTCAACTATCTGATCCCCGAGAAAATGTATACCTAACGCAGGGAAAATTAATTTCCTCTCGGTTGCTTTACAAGAATAATGTTGGTACCATAGATTTCCTTTTGTGCATTTCTTACATACCAAATAGTCAACGGGCAGTGGTTAATGCCATGTTGATCAATTTACCCATGTCATTGTAATCTTTGTCCTGTCATTTTATTTGGCATCATAATCTTCGTTACTTCATTAGGAAAACAGCCCCTGATTCAGGGACGAAATGTAAATGTTTATGTCTTCCATGTTCAGAGTATCACCCAGCTCGCTACTGTGAAGGCCAGACAGCTGTCTTTGCCTGTGGCCATGGGAAGGTTATCCGGGTCCTGACAGCTTTGTACGGGAGCAACCTTGACGCATGTGGCTCCGGCGGAAGAAGTAAGAATAACTTCCAAAATCAAATCCAGTTGCTTGAGTAATTTTTTTGTTGACGTGCATCGAATGTCTAACCTTCATCGATGTAACTTAATTGCCTATATATATATTAAGGTCACATTGCCTAACCTAGGCCCGACCGGGCTGTCTGGGTGACCAAAAAAATTTAAATTAATGCACACACAACGACTAATGTTTTCAGCTTTTGTTATGATTTGTTGTCACTAATATTAATCGTACGTCATGTTCTTGTGAACTGTCTAGCATGACCCTGGATCTTTAAATGTGATATATGTTATATACATACGCTGATCATCAATGTTAAAGAACACATAATGACCTGTAGATTAACTCCACAGCCGGATGTGTGTCGTCCTCGGCTTTCGGAATAGTCAGGGACAGATGTAACGGCCAGGCGACCTGCTCTATTTCTGTAAGCAATAGTGTTTTCGGTGACCCATGTTCTGGAGTCGGAAAGTACCTGGAGATCGGTCACCTCTGCGTTCCTCCCGGAGTCCAAGGTTAGTTTCAAACTTTCTCAGTGTTTTGCACTGCCTCAGCTTTGCGGAGACGAATACTAGATCAATATGAGATCCAGAGGGATGAAGCTGAGGATTGAACGTAATGTTGTTGGTAAAGCCAGGCTGTGGTTATTTTTTTATTCAAATGAAAAGACAATAAAGACACAGTGGTGGTGCACCCATGTTAACGAACTTTCGTAACATTTTTTTTTAATTTCTTGTTATCTTCCATTTACGTTTGGGGGCGAGTAACAGTTAAAACTTGAAACTGTACCTTTTTTTTCTAAAACAGGTACTTCCGAACATGCACAGAGAGGGTAGTAATGTAGTGTATTGTTGTTATTTTCATGTTTGTATGTCGTAGATAAATTCCCCACACTTCCGGAACACTTTCTGAACACTTCCGGAAAATGCATCAATGTGTGGGAAGATATAGACCGACAGTAAATATATATTTTTGTTCTTCTCTAGCTCGGTACACACATTTGGGATGCTTTACGGACCAGGATGTCCGAGCCATTTCAACTCTGGAGGGCACAGATGCACGCCTCGATAATCATTACCTCTCTCGCGTTAATGCCCTTGAAAAATGTTACCAGGTCGCAAAGTCTCGTGGCTTCACGATGTTCGCTGTGCAAAACAGCGGGTGGTGTGCAGGGTCGACCGACGCGCCGAACAGGTACAATATGTACGGGTCCTCAAACCTTTGCTACGGGCATGGTGAAGGTGGACCTCATGCAAACGACGTCTACATGATTGGTGCTGCTACTGTTGCAGGTACAGTGCTCTTACTCCCCCTTAATTTACTGTACATCATTTGTAACATATTTAATGGGTTATTGTACTAGAAGTTGTTGTGTTGATCATTATGATCATAACCGAATATCCATTTAGCATCCGCATCAGGATCCGCTACCGTTCAGCTGGTTGGTGGATCTGGCAACCACGAAGGAAGGGTCGAAATCCACCACAATGGAGCGTGGGGAACGGTCTGTGACGATGCCTGGGATATTAACGACGCAACTGTGGTGTGCCGCCAGCTAGGGTTCAGCGGCGCTGCCGAGGCACGTTCTTTTGCAGCCTTCGGGCAGGGTACCGGACAGATCTGGGTAGACGAAGCGAACTGCAGTGGAACTGAGGCTCGTCTGGCGGACTGTCCCAGAAATGCATGGGGTCAACATGATTGTAGCCATTATGAAGATGCCGGCGTTGTCTGCAATCGTAAGTTGAAGTATCACTAGAGCTAGGCACTGCCAATTAAGGATTTCTTTCCCAGGGTTCAGCTCCAAGGCAGCAGTATAAGATTTAGTAAAGATGAACAGCGATCCACATCTATACCGCCAGCGTAAAACCCCGTCGAAGCAATACGCACTCTGCACATGACACAGAAGTTTATTTTTTACGAACCAAACTCACTACTTCAGAGGTGATGGAAGGAGAATCAACATAGAAAGCTCTTTTGAAAATCTTTTGAAAATCTCACTTTTGGATAACAAGTTATAGACGAAATGTATTCGAAGGGCAAATTAAACTGAGAATAGATGAATTTTAATTTTAATGGTAGGAGAACCAAGGCTGCCTAATCGACCCAAATTTGTTGCTTATATTAGGCTCGCTATGTCATGTTCCGCCAAACGGTATTATCAGATGTCCTACTGTTGCGTTTGCTTTTCCGCGAGCAAACGTTTGCACCGGTGCAATTCTGTAGACCACAAGTATGTAAATTGTACATGTCAGATAAAAAGGTATCCTTGACTGTCACCATGGTGGTTCGGGTGGCAGAGGAGGACTGGCACCCGACTTAAGTCTTAAGTCAAGTAAGACTGACACAGTTCTAAAGTATATTACGGCCGTACTGCACTGCAGCATTTTTACTTCTCTCTAAACTGTTACTGCAGGCTAAGAAGCTGGCGGCTCCCCTTGCACTGTAAACTGGACTACGAACGGACTGGAAACATCGAACGACTTCTCATTTATCGATCCTATTCATCTCCCGCTTAGAATGATTGCCAGAATAAGTAGTAGTGCTAATATAACATTGAAGCTGGTTTAGATATCAGCGTAGGGTATAAGAAAGAATAAACATGATATTACGAATATGATATGATACAACATGATATGAATTTGTTTATTTGAACAAGGAGTGTTAATATAACTCACACATTGAGGCTGGTTTAAATATTATCGTAGGGGGGGTTAAAGAAAGAATAAAACATAATATTGCGAATGCAATTGTCTGACACAACATGATATGAATTTGTTTATGTGAACATTCCACATTTTACAATTGAGGGGGTGCGTGCAAACAAGTGGTTGATATTTCCTTCAAAAATTGTCTCCTGCTCTAAAGACACTAACATCGATATATAACAGAATATGCATGATTTTATTATGGCGTTTCGAAATGAAAGTGATTTGTCATAAAATTTGCGACTTAAAAATGACCACAAACCAGTACTGTATAACAAAAGGGCAAGATGACTAAAATACAGAGACAAAACATTAAAAAGAAATATGATCCATTAGATGTTTTCAACCCGGGGGGCCAACGGTAACTGCGATGGAATGCTGGTAAATTAATTCAATTCCTGGTAAGTGATTTGAAAACTTTTGGCAAACAACATTAAGGAAACAAAAACCATGAATTGTTTACAAACAAATCAAAAACTTGATTCAATAAGACCCTACATTGTATTAATTCCATTTGTCAGTGTTATCTTGCAACTTACAGAAGGAAGGTTAAGTGTTTAATGATTCATGTGTCAAGATATCATTTAAGTAGTATATAAAATAATATCAATAATTCAAAACATATATTCAATAATGCTAGTCGGCGACATGGTTACTCTATGACGACATTAGTCTGACGCTACGTCACTGTGTTGCCCTTTTGTAGTTCTCAGGCCTACCTGCGTTCTAATCGTCATATAAGTCACATCTAGTCATATAAGTCTTTCCAACATTCATTCTACCTTCGTTAGCAAGTAATATAATGGTAATAATATTCAATATAATAATTAATAATGATTATAATAGCAAATCAACAGCCACAATCATGACCATGAAATGGTCATCATATTTGACTACAAATCGAGACAGGGAAGCTTAAATTTCACTGCTATGATGATTAGGACGCTGGCAGTCGACACCTGAGAAGGATTATATTATATTCAAGATGTGCTAATTAATATAACATAAATAATTGCAGAAATTATTCTTATGAAGCTGATGCAAGTTTAATGTTCAAAATTGTGTGTGGTACAACTATAACAACTGGGACATGAAACTTGAATCATTTCTCTAAGGATAAATGCTAATTCTAATTACAATCATGTTAAGTCATAATCTTCGGCAGTCAACACTTCTATCGGTCAGAAAATGATAATAATTTAACATCTTATGTTGAAGCTTTGTAGTAGATATAAAGTTAAGAAGTTCATTAGGTCGTTAAACCTTAGTGCAATCAGCGGCTATTGATGTCTTTCTTGCAGTTTGAATAAACTTGCGGTTGGCGTCACTATCATTGTCTTTTGTTCATGATTTAATTACAATGCAGTACCATAGAATACCACTAGGTGGTCAAAATTCTATTTTTTTTAAATTATTATTATTATTTTACCAACACCTATCCTCATGAAATATCATCAGCTACCCACAGATTGTCAAGTTTTGCTATTTTCTAACACACGCACAGACAGACAGACAGGACAGACACACAGACTCGAAAACATAATCTTTAGGCCACAGCAAGTAATTTTTATGGATGACATCAGCGCGCGCATTAATTTTCGCCTGATTTTGAAAAAAAAATTGTTGCCTTCTGACAGTGGTCCATATGCCGAAAATGGGCAAATTTGTCTGTTGCCATGCTGGAAGGTAGATGCCATGGTACACACACCTGATAATATGTTATCCCGTAAACAGGTCACCTTTTATTGTATATAATTCTACGGTATAATTTTATATCGGTAATTGAGGAGTTCACACTACAATTCAAAGTAAAATATAGTTTACATCCAAAAAAGTAACATTCCCTTAGTTACTAGTTAAAATATAAACATTTGGTAGCTGTAAAGCATTATGTTCCTCGTGTAACCTTCACATATCGTGATAGAGCTGCCCATTTTCTATATTTCCTGAAAGCCTTAAAGGCCGTACTGATAAAATATCCGAGTGCCTATTTCTTCCTCACTCTACCTTCTACAATGTTCCAACGCATTTGACAAATTTGATTGATTCAGTAGAATGCCAAACAACAGAAGATACAAATTATAAGTTACGATTAACCATGCAGCCAGAAAATCTGTTTTAGTCGCTATAGCTAGGACCACGCAAACCAAGGCCATGGTGCTTCAATCTGCTAGTAATAATTACTAATACATTTTGTACATCTGTACTGTAGTCTATTAAGGGCACAGTCCACCATTTCGAGCTCCAATTGAAATATATGGCAAAAATCTTAGACTGAGCTGTCACAAATCGCCTACTTAAGTGTCCAACTATTGAAAACTCACATTGACACTGTAGCTTGGCCTGCAAATGGTCCATTTAGCCCAAAATTCTAATTTTTGGATCGGCACAAACTCATCGTAAGATGGCCGCAATGGCCTCTGACCCCCTGTACACATCACCAAACGCAACAACATAGCATCGTTTCTAGAGATCTACCCAGCATCAAAAACAAGCCCCAAAAAACTTCTTTTTTTCAAGGAAACAAAAAACAAAAAAGAAACCCTTCCAGCAAAATGCCAACAATTAGCAAGATATACCAAGAAAAAGGTTGTTTACAGTTGGTTTTGATGCTCTCACCAATGGTTACTCAAAATGGGCCTTCTGGGCCAGCTCGTAATGCCGACCTTTGCCCGACATCTATACTCTCTCTACCTGATCTACTTGTTCCATTGGGGTTTAATTTGATTTGATTTGATTTATTAGGCTGTATAAAACATATGTATACAGCCAGGACTGCCCAACTAGCCGGGGGCTATTATAACGGGCTAGCCCTCACAACAAGAACATAAACAATTCGGAACAGGTAACAGTTAACAGTGTCGGTTACACTTCAGATAAACATACTATTATGTTCCGGTCTAATGTTAACAAGCTATGAGATCTAGCCTAGTCGTCATGCTTTTACTATAATTACATTGTGTACTATATTTACATGTCAGGTTGTCATGTAACACATGGGTCATCCGTTCTGCAGGTTGACGCTTCGGCCGTTGTGCCTGTGCTATAAAGTTCGCCGGTACCATTACAACCTACTAGATATTCTTCGTTTCCTCCACACATTATACTTTCATCATGTGTTCCAATCACAGAACTGTCCGTCCGATTTGACATGTATCTACGGTCAGTAGTCACATCGTAAACTGTTTCAACTTCTTCAGCTGATTGATAATTGCAAGCTTCCATATAAGGTCCTTGATAATTGTATATCTGGCAGTTCGCAGCTTTGGCCCTGGAGGCTCTGTTATACGATAAGTGAGTAGAACCAGTTGCAGCATAGAAATTAAAAGAATCGTTGTTGGAATCGGTGTTTGCGTTTAGTGAGGCACAGTTGTGGATATCTCCCTCTGTTATTTCATCGCGTCCATTTTCGCCAGGGTGGTTATTAAACCACTGGTCAAAAACCTCGTCGTTTTCTTGGCTAGCATCATCGTCTGAGATGTCACAGTAGTCGTGACCCTCTGGAACGTACACTTCACCCTCGTTAGTTTGGTGAACATTGCTGCCGTCTCTTCGACATGTGCCTTCAAGTTGCATGTTCTGGCTTGTTTCTAGAGTACCGATGAAATGCATTGGATTTCTTTGTAAGACACTGAACATATCATCCCTAGAAGAAAAAGTGTTTCGCGTGTTGTCTTCATGGCTATTCCGGCAAACCACGTTAATGTCTGAGAGACAAGTTGTCGCATATGGCCGCAGGTTTGTGTCATTGGACCTATTGCCGTCCTGATTTTGACGATTACTACTTTCCTTAATTCTCTTTTGATAATAACACAATGCACTAATGCATAAAACAATAACTGTTACAACAAGAAAACTTACTATCAGGGGAATCCGTAGATCTATAGTGGCACTAGGTGGTTGTCTTTGAGATACTAGAGGTATACTGTATGTTGACTCGGGAGTACTGTACGGGGTTTTTGTTACCACCATTTTGTATACGCTGTCAGATACATTTACGAACGCTGGAATATCGCTGGTAAGACCTGCGCTTGAAATAATGGTGTCGTTGCCTGTTTTCTTTATTGTGGACACGTTGATAAAGAATGAATCATATTTCTCGCCATGAAAAATGGCAAAGCAGGCGACACTTAACGTGGAAGATTCCCTGCCGTGTGTCCCCCGAGAGCCAAATGTTGGTTCCTTCATGGTAGTTGCTCCTCGGGTGCTAAAGCCCATCAGAAATGAGTTGCCGCCTGGTGTGTCACTTGTTTCTATGCGTGAAAATTGTAAGCTTGATGGACCTTTCAACGCCAAACTTATCCCTCCGGAGCCTTCCCAAGAATCCAAACATTGCTTTGATAAGATCTGTTTATCTTCTTTCTTATTCATTACTACAATGACAAAAGGTGCATAAGACGCTATATGGCCCAACCGAAGCTCTTTAGACAGTCGGTTACACGAGTCTAGATAGATAGGGACGTTTTAGTTTATCCCTAAAGTGCTAAACCAATCAATAGTGAAGCTTTTATCATTAACATCGTAGTTTATATGTAATACTATGCTCATGCCTTTGAACCGTATCCACTGCTTTGGGTGTTTCAAGCCACAGTTCTCAACCACAATGTTCCAGGGTATCTCATGCAAGCTGCCTACTCTGGAATAGACAAGTCTGCCCCCACCTAGCTCGACTCTGATTAAGTTTTGAAGAGTCAAGAACCCTTCACTGTTCAGGCACACTAAGTCGTTCTGACTCAAATCCAGAAACTGCAGTCCACTCATGGATACAAAGGCATTTGGCGGAATTGTCTTGATTCTGTTTCCGGCAAGAAGGAGTGTTCTTAACCCTGTTAGTTCGACGAACCACTCTTGACGAACATCTCTCAACACATTACTTCTTAAATCCAACTGGCTAAGAGATCTGATATTCTTAAAACACTCAGGGTCTATGCTTGAGATGTTATTGTGAGAAATAGAAAGCTTGTCGAGACTGTAGGTTTTAGTTGGAGAACTTGAATCGCTGTGCCAGTCTGCAGAAAGGTGCGTTAACATGTTATGGTCTAAGTGCAAATTTCGCAACTTGTGAAACTCCTTAAACGCGAAGTCGTCAATATCAGTTATCCCAGTGTCGATTAGAAAGAGACTTGTGAGTGACATGGCGTCGACTGCAGCTAGTTTTTCGGACGATAATCTTCCGTATTGGAAACCTCTTATAATGATCCATTTCATTCCAGGAAAACATGAATCTAATGACATATTTGCAACTTTAGAATGATGATTGCAACCTTCGAAAATGCATTTAGTACTACTTGCAGAAAAAGTCCTGGCATATCTATAGTAGTCAAGAAGTGTGACCATCGGTTGGCAACGAGTTGAAATTTTCCTTTCACATGTAGCAAAACAGGTTTGATCTGCATAGAGGCTAATTGTCTTTACCATTGCGACCAGAACGACAATCATGTGTCGAATACTTGCCTTCATTTTGAAATTAAATTTTGCTTAAATGTAAAAAAAAAATACAGTTGCAGCCGCCTGTGTCCACCTTTTTGTTGTTGCTTTGGTTGTTTGTTTGTTTGTTTTGCTTCGTAAAAATCGTCGGTCTTTGCTAGTCTCTACCAGACTAACTACGCTGGCTATATGTAGGAGAATGATATCGATTGCCAGGGGAGTTTGGCCGCCTTGTAGGTTTGACAGACCGCGCAGAATTTCCACAGACCTTCGGAGGGAAAGAAACTACCTCCCCGCGGTTGGACTCCCTTGGCCAATTTTACTCTCTTTTTTTGCCAAATTCTACGATCCGTAGAACGGCCTGGTGGAGGCTAGGTCTTTATGGGTCCTTTTTTTTAGAATAGGTGCAGATATACATGTACTATCATACCTTGCGCACCTCTCCTCGGAAAAAAAAACTAACTGTCCGTCTATATGAGATAAAACGTCGACAACCAGAAAAGTCTGTTTACCTGGCGTGGAGGTGCTTGATGTTTCAGAATTGATAGTTGACCGTTGAATGTAGCAGATCTTTAGCTTGGTCGCTGTGTCAATTCAATGACGAAAGGCCACAAACAAAGACCGATCGATCCAAGACCGATGCCAGCCCAAGCCCACAGCAGATGCACACAAAAAATGTCACCGTGTGTTGCGAATTGTTGTCCGATGGTGGCTGTTTCTTGAGATCGATGCAGAAAAATTAAAAAAAAAAAGAATGCCTCGTGCACACGGCTTCCGAACGAACATCTGGGTGTTGCCGACGTGACATGCACAGTTTTAAACTAACCTGATATTATTTTTAACCCAGACCAATGTTTAATAAGTAAGGGTTGTGCCGGACGTACCTGTTAAATAAATTATAAGGTGCCTGTTATATAAATTGATTTAATTTTCTTATAAAAAAAGTAGGACATCGACATTATTAGAACGTCCTTGGAAATTCGAAAGCTAACGGTTCTGTAAAAAAAGACTCAAAAACGAAAACACCATCAAATATAGATATATGATAAAACAATGTCGACTGAAAAAAATTGCTAATGGTAGGATGAATAGTCGACTGTTTGCGTCCTAATAATGCATAAATTCTGCAGAAAATTTTACCCTCACAACATTTTTCAACATTGAATACATTTTATATTTAATTGTCTGTAGTATGTTGTTATGATTGCTGTACGTTTGGTTGCGCGTGCGCCAGAATTACAATACGAACAAGAGTTCCGAGATCTCATACCTCCATGAAATATGGGCTTGCTTTGTCATACTTCCTTTCAACATGTCCTCATTAATTATCCAAATGATATCTACGTTAACATAATATATGTATAGTGGTGTTAACCTTTACGTAACTTACACATGTCGAGGTATAAAATTCCCATCATTCACCAATAAGGAGTCACAGAATTTTCGCATTGATTATGCAAATTAGGTCATCATTAGCATAATTGGTATCTGTTGATGTTCCTCCTGCCACAGATTAAATAGATTACATGTATAAATGAAGTATTATATAAAACACTGTAACTATAGAATTTCCTCCTTAATTATGCAAATTAAGTCCTCATTTGCATAATTTGCATTTTAATATGTACAACTCTCTCTCAACTACCTACACACCAAATATGATGAAAATACGTTGTTCCTATCTGGACTTATTAGCTTTTAAAGATTTCGCCAGAAAGTCTCCTGCAGTTCCAGAACAAGCTGCTAAGGGGACCAAACCCACATCACTTATTCCTGACAGAAAAAACTATCCGTCACTAAAAAGTCAAGACCATAGCATGTTCAGGACAAAAGATACAAAAAAAGGAAGTTCTGCTGCAGTACCAAGGTCATCCACCAGGAGGCCCATATTTGACCTTGACCTTTGTCTTCCTAAGACTTAGCAGCATACCAAATATCATCACAATCCATAAAGGCGTTATGAAGTTATGGTGACTATAAATGTGCGGAAACACAAACACACGAACAGACAGACAGACACACACACACACACACAGACAGACGCGCCAAAAACAATACCTTCATTTTTCATGGAGGTAATAATTAACCCAGATGCTAACAAAAGACCGTACCGTAGTGATTGGTTCCGACCAAAAATACAAATGGATGTTTTCCACAGACAATCAATAAGGCTGCCCTACTTTTAGGTATTGTAGGAGGCAGTTTTTTTAAGAGTAACGTTCCACGATCTCATACCTTCGCCAAATGGTGTTAACCGTTCTGACTGACGAAATGATACATCGATGATAAAAATAAGATCCTTATTTCATTTCTGTCATGGATATAAGTTGATCATATTTTCCACCTAATGACAGCCTTATCTTAACGAAAAAGGTGTCATATTAAGGTTCTGGGTCGGAGTTTAATTCTGACCAGACTCTAAGTAAGTGCGCAGTAAATCGCCAGGAACGTGATTTTGTTTCGTATGTATTGGTCGCGATATCTCTGATATCGCACTAGCTGTATACGTATCTTTGAATTTTCTGAAAAGCCTATTAATTGTAGCCTCTATAGGTGGGGTAATGTGGTCCAGCGAAGACTTCCTGGTATTAGTCCGCGCGGATGGTTATGTAGCCTTTTCGTCTGATCCCCGGGATGGTGCGTTCTATATATTCGTTGTGGGTGTGTTTGGGCTATCGAAGATAGCGGTAAACTTATCGCATCGATTATTACCTCCATGAAATGTGTCATGGAGGTTATATTTTCAGTTGCGTTTATCTGTCCGTCTGTCCGTCCGTCTGTCTGTCTGTTGGTCAACAAGATAACTCAAGAACGCCTGGATGGATTGGTTTCATACTTGGTGTGTTGGTAGGGTGTGACGAAAACTAGAAATGATTAGATTTTGGTCCCCCTAGTGGCTTTCCTTGGTACTGCAGCGCAACTTCGGGTTTTGATATCTCGCGATCTGGACATGCTAGGGTCATGAAATTTTGATGGAAGGTAGCTCTCGTACTTGGGAAGAAGTAATATGAGTTTGGGCCCCCTAGCGGCTTGTTCTGGAACTGCAGGGCACTTTCTGGCGAAATGTTTAAAAGCCAATAAGTCCAGACAGGAACAACATATTTTCATTATTTTTGGTGTGTAGGTAGCTGAGAGAGAGATGTACATAATTAAATGCAACTTATGCAAATGAGGACTTTATTTGCATAGTTAATGAGGAAATTCTATAATTACAGTGTTTTACATAATACTACTTACATACATGTAATGTATGTAACCTATGGCAGGCGGAACTTCAACAGATACTAATTATGCAAATGATGACCTAATTTGCATAATCAATGCGAAAATTCTATGATTTCGTAATGGTGAATGATGAGAATGTCATACTTGGGACATCTGTAAGTTAATCAAAAGTTAACATACATCACAATGCATATATCATGTTAATGCAGAGGTCATTTGCACAATTAAAGAAGAAATTTACCTTTATTTATCAAGATCATATTTCATGGAGGTATGAGATCTCGGAATTCTAGTTTTAATCGAATTCTAGTATCGGAAACATTAGGTACTGAGCTTAAGCTTCATTACCCCGTGAAAATTCGTTTTTTTCCATGCAGAACAATGTATAAAAAACAATAATAAACAAATAAACAAATAAACAATGACGAAAAAAGGACCCCTTACATAACAATGTACATTGATAGGGCTTATTTACCACTAAATTAATTGGGCGCAGAAAATATTAATCGAAAGTTATTAGAAATTAATAGAAAGTGTATTGATATAAGCACCCATTTCAACCGGAAGAGTGAAAAATTCCGACCTAGCGGCGTTTATTACAGAGATGCTCCGAACACAGAAAGAAATTCCGGTCCGAGACCTTAAAAGACTTTAATTCTAGCATTCCCTCATAAATGATGAAAATAGGGCCATGATTTGAATGAATTATGTTTATTGATGTTCACCTTCATTTAATATAACTTCAAAATGCCGCAAGTATGAAATTCCCGTCAGTTACCACCATATATATAAAATTATAACAATTTGCTATTAAGTACATGTATGCAAATTAGGTATTCATTTACACAATCTATATCTTCAGATGTTCCTTTCGTTCTTAATTACATGTCACATGACATGTGCTCCATAGTCCTATTATGGATGGAACAGAGCAGTTTTACAGAATTTCCTAAATAATCATGCAAATTAGCTTCTGATTTGCATAATTGTCGTACATTTACGCCAAGCGTCATTTAAGCTGCCTACATACTAAAATCATAATACTAGTAATCCGTCAACCGGTCCTTAAGTTATTCACCCTAAAAGATTTTTAAACAAACTGCCTTGCAGTTCCAAAACAAGCTGCTAGGACGCCGAAACTCATGTAACTTCTTCCCTAAACCAAGAGCTTCTAGTATCTACCAACCAAAATTCGTGACACTAGCATGTCCAATTTATGAGATATCAAAACCACAATTTCTGCTACAGTACCAACGAAAACCGCCTTCGTATCATTTCTTATAATATATATTCTACGTCTTATCAAGATCTACCAACCTACAAAGTGCCATGACATTATGCATATAAAGCTTCTTAAATTATGCTTTTTAGAAACAGACGGACAAACTGAACAAGACTCGCAATGAAGACGTACATTGTCATGGCGACGGGGGTTGCTGTTATGGATATTGTTTGCATGGCACTGCCATCATTTCATGATTTTGAGGAAGACTCGGTACCTGTTATAATTAAGTCTAGACAGATACAGTGCACCCCTCCCTTGAGTGTATAGTGAACGAGCAACAGGGTCACAGAACGTTACGGGCCATCCGGGCAGAGAGGTCTTCCCAAGGGTTTCCAGGAATTTGGGCATAGATGTGGGTCAGAGACATGCCTGTGGACATTCCATGCCTGTGGACAAAATGCCTCTCCTCCCCTGAGTGTATAGTGAACTAGCAGAGTCACAGAAAGTAGGGCCATCCGGGGCAGAGAGGTCTTCCGAAGGGTTTCCAAGAATGTGGGCATGGGTGTGGGTCAAAGACATGCCATTCCTGTGGAAAAAATGTCTGTACAATTCCTAGAATTCTTGCAAACTGCACACAATGCTGTACCATTAGGCTCCTTCCTGAGACGTCGCCAATTAACACTACTGAAAACATAACCTTCTCCGCGAAGGTAACAATTATTGAACCACGTACTCAGAGCCCTATCCTAATTATAAAGGCCACCTGAAATCCCCCCAGGTTTACTAGTATTCACCAAAATAAAATTTCAGTGCTAAAAAGAAACCCCCATAAAAAGGCCTAACAACTCGCCAAAGATAACCCAAAACCCAAGCCTCTTTTTTGGAGAGTATACTTCCATGCAAGGAGGTTACCAACGTCACTTTTGTTGCACTTCTGCTAGTTCTCGCTAGGAAAACATTCGTTTGCTGATAAGGGTGTTCACAGTAGGAAAATCTTTAGCCTGTTGAAAGTACTCCCATTTCCAGGGATTTCTTTGAGAACGAAAACAGATTTGTCTGTGAAAAAAGGAATAGAATTAAACTTAAAACTGTGTTTAAATCTGCATTGCTTCTTGATCTCTCAAAACCATCTTAAGAAGCACCAGAATATTTTAAACACATCAGGCAGACAAGAAAAGGACGTGGAACAGCTATAAAGAATTGGGACCTACAAATGAAAGAAATATACGTGGACGCAGTTTTCCGGCTATATTCTCTTTAATGTTGATCATTAATAAGCTAAAACAATTCTATGAGCATGGGATGATCTTGACATTTCTTCGTTTAGTGATCAGGTGAGTTTGTTTCTTGATCTTTTTTTCTCAAACGACCAATTCACAGTGCACGGGCAGGTCGTTGATCGGTCTGACTTGGGGCGTAATGAAGTCTGGATCGAGTCGTTTATTTTGCACGACCTCATCACGACTCTCACAACGACTGAAACACGACTGCCATTCTGAATGTACCAAGTCCCATTGACCATATTACGACCATGTAACGATCTTTCTACGACCCCGATCGTTAAATAGTCGTGCACAGTCGTATTTTGGTCAACGTTGAGAGGAGAGGTCAAGAGGTCATGATAGCTACATCATTCCTGATAACCCAAATATCGACAACATATGTCGGTTATATGTGTTTTTTTCATGGTCCTTTTTTTTGCCTCTTAAGCCCTATTCCTGCGGGCGCCGAGATATCTCGGTTTCCCCAATGTGTTCCCTGTATGCGGAAGCCGAGATAACTCGGTTTTCTGGTATCCATACATGGACGCGTCACATTCCCGCGTACCGCGCGCGCGAACCCGGAAGCAACTTGCGTAATCACCGTGACGTCATCCCATGAGCCTTTGCGCACTAATTTATTCAAAAACGGCGCCGTCTGCATGCTTCTTTTCTCGTAGTATGTTGTTTACAGTGGTTTTAGGCGGTAAATTTGCCATGTAAACACCAAAATGGAACGGATGATGATTGAGCACTCACTGGTTCTCGAACAGTTATTTAAGAATGATTTTGGCCAAAAACACTCCACTTTGGATGAAGATTGTCTACAATTTTTGAAATCTTCATTCACATATTATTTATTGAGTATTAGGCAAAAAAGGTTGCTTATATAACACCTTCTACTCAAAAACATACAACGAGTATAAAAACACATTGACAAGATACATGCATTATTACAAGAAGGATAAAACCGAGATAAATACAATCAAGACAAGTTGATGATCTATCAATTACAACATCTTACAAGAATATCTACCCGTACAGTAAATGAAGTTTTGAACTACATATTATTACAGTTTTGTAAGTGTGAAAGTGATGTGGACCCTCGAAGTAGTTGGAGAGAGTACTTCTTTGACTGTAATAAAGTTTACATTTATTATTACAAAGTAAAAAGTAGTGTTTAGTTGTTTCACTATGATAGCCACATTTACATGTAGGATAGTCAATACAATAATGTTGAAATATATGGTAGTTTAACTGTTAAACTGACTGAAATTAAGACGGAGCCTTGTGTGATGAACAGCGGAGTGTCTTTGGCCACGGCAGAAATCGAAGTGTTTTGTCGGTCTGTTGAATAGAGAATTCAACTCATTTTGAAAGATGTTAACAGTGAGAGAGGCTTGGATATTGAGGGGTACATCATTCAACAAATAAATAGTTGAGGGTAGGAATGATTTTTAATCCTTTCAGTTTTACAAGAAATAGGGGAGAAAGTCTGGTTGTCTAGAAATTACCAAGAAAGATAGAGAAGAGATTGTCACATGTTCGTGCCAGCAGACGTCAAGCTTCCGGGCGGGGATAAACCGCATGTTCAGCCTGAAGGAGACGACAGCACGGGTCGTGAAGGTGCCGATGGCCGTCGTCGTACCCGGGGAAGACGCCAAGGAGATCGTGAAAAGGACGCAGGCGGGGTAGAGGTGCGGGTTCAGCGAGTCGGACCAGTGGCAGCGCCGGCCCGTCAAGCCGCTGACGTGGCAACAACGTACCACCCCTGGTTGGTTGTGCTAGTACATTGTACAAGTGAAATAGCAGCAGTAAAATCTTCTTACCTGGGTGAATTTTTTTCTCTTGCGCATTAGTCTGATGTTTTAATGATTCCTCAAGAGCTGTATGCTTCTGGTGCTAGGAATTCAAAGCTCCAATAATAAATATATGGAAATGTTGTAACATATAGGTTTTATTGCTATTTGATTGTTTTGTATTACTAATTCATTGATAACATCTAGTTGTTATTCTTTTTTTTTAAGAATATGTAAGCTTTCAGTTGATATGTAGCAACTATATGTAGATTTTCTTGTAAAGCTACAGGAAGGAGGATACTATGTTGTAGTAGATCAGCTGGGTAGGCAGTTCAGCACCAGGAAAGTCTGTAGTCATAAACTTACCTGTACTTACACCTGGCTGCATGTCTTTGTCTGTTATGTACTTCTGGTGTTGTTAGGATTCCTCAGAAACTGTATGACCCAAGTGCAAGTGATTCTATGGGTGCTAAGTGGATTATATTCAACATTGTAGAAGAAATGCATTTCATTACCCTTTATACAGTTATTACCTTTGTAATGAATATTATCAAGATGCTAACAATCCTCTGGGAAAGTACAAGTAGTAGTTATAATAAGCTTTGAGTTCATGTATAATAAGTATGTGTAGAATCTTTTGTTGAAGCTACAAGAATGACAATACTATGTTGTTGTGTATCACCTTTTCAGCTGAGTAGGCAGTTCAGCACCCAGGAGAGTCATAAACTTACCTGTAGTAGTACCTGGGTGTATGCTTCTGGTATATTTTTCGTTGTGGTGGTAGCGACAAAAAAACGGAACGGGCCATATATAAAAAGCAAACGATCTTCCACCATCAACCTCTGCTTGTAGAGTAATGAGATCCGTGACTAAAGCGATGTACAAATTGTTTGGATGCAAGGACATTCGTCACAAATCCCGCTGCCGGCTTTTTTTCACATCATTCAGACGGTACAGAATAAACTCTGTCAGACACAACAAATAAAGATGTTGCTGAGATGAGCGTACGGTGTTCTTCCTTGTGTAATAAATAATAAGACTCATTCACGTTTCGTTGTGAGTCTACAATTGAAATAGATTTGACAAGGAATGTGAGCTTCTCAAGTCAAGTGCAATGAATCGGCCTGTACACAATAGTACTGAACAAAGTAACAACAGCCACTTGTCTACTTTACTGCACAGAGAACTGTTATTCCTGCGAAATCTATAAGGAGGGCCATATACATGAAATACATCTAAACTGTACAGATTAATTTATATTTGTAATGAACTTAGACAAAACTTTCATATTGAAACATAGTATTACCTGTTCTTACCTTTTTACCATTTAGTAATTAACGATAAGAAATCGAATTTACCTAATTGTAGATACTTGACGATGTATAATATGTAATGTTATCTGTATTCCATCATTTTGTTGTGACCTGTACTTAACCCAGCGGGGATGTGTGTACAATAAAGGCCTTCATTTATTCAATAAAATAATTGTCATATCTATACTTGCGCAGTGCATGAAAGAAAACTACATTGAAATTTAAAAGAAACCAAACAAAGGAGTATCCTTCACACTTTATCTGTAGATCGAGAGGACCCAGATCCTGCCCTCTTCCTTCGCCATTAGCGGAACACAGGTTCTCATGTTGAAGACATTCTCCACCGTATGCCGATGCTGGGCTGAGTGGAGTCGACGTATCACAAGTTGGTTCTTCATCTCGGCGGGCGCAGCAACCGCCTTGCTTTGACAAGCTGTTCTGCCCTGCCCTGTGGCCTATCATGCAGACCAAAATGCCACAATTCGTCGTATAACCAGTAGTACTGAGTTTCCCTGCCATACTGAACTTCATGTGTTGATCCAGGTATGACATTGTCATCAGTAAAGCGGGCAAACAGATGGCTTGCCGTAGTCTTGGCAGGGTGAGATCGACGTGGCGCTTCGTCTTCCCACCACTGGGTCCTGAGCTGTATGATGTATTGTCGATCCACGTCTGGTACGGCAGCCTTGTGGTAAACAACTACTTCTGGCCTCGCGCGTCCTGTCAGTGAAGCTAATAGTAAAGCAGACAACAAAATGTTTTGTAGCGGAGCCCTGTCACAAAACTGTTTAATGTCAAATGACGTCTTGGAAAGGAAGTTAAACTTGGTTCATTTCAAGAGAATTTTATGTTGACATGATTAAGTTCTTAGCTCTAACGTCTTACGGGTTGAAATTGTCATCATTGTTAAAAAGTCTATAATAAAGAAGATTTGCTGTAAAAGTTGTAACTTTGGATAGGTGTTTTATGAATGAAAATGTTTGAATGGAAACATATAAGCTGTGCTTGTATGTTCCAATACGTCTCTGGGGGTTTGCAATGAAAAGAAAGCCATGCTTTAAAATCATCAATAAAAAAGGACATATTGTGCTATCTTCGTTTAATTTCCGTGTACAGTTAGTCCATTTATGCTTGGTTTGTGTCTATTTTTTTGTGCAAGTATTTCAACGCATGAAATAAACAAATACGGTGATAGCGGATATCCTTGACGAACGAAAGGAAATAAATGCATTATTTATTATCTTAGCAGATATGTCATTGTAAAGCACGCCTACTCATTTAATAAACGATTCTCCAGAACCGAAAAAGTTCTAACAACTTATAAATAAAATCACATCTTATTTTATCAAATGTATTTTCGAAATCTGCTACAAAAATCAAACCATATTTCTAGTATATTTTTTTCCATTAATCTATTTCTTAAAAACCCTGTTTGGTATTTACTTTGGTCGTTAATGCATTTGTGTGTGTCTGTGTTTCAAAAGGACTTTTTAAAGTATCCGTACATCACATCTTCTGTTGTAAAGATAAATGTATGTTGTCATGATTCTGAATAAATTAAAGCATGACAGTTACTAGGTACTTCAGATTCAGGTGTTATATTAAAGGAATATAAGGATGAGTAGAAATGTTTCAATTCCTTTAATATTTCATCATGATGTTCAATGCTTTCTCCATTTTGCGTTTTTATCGTTTTGATGATTTTCCGGTAATAATTTCGCTTACCTGAACTCAAAAACTACTTATTACATCGTTCCGAGAATTCCATCCAATCTACCCTCTGACTATACAGCTTTTGGTCGTACAAAGTTGCACAAAAATCTACTTATTGCATTGGATATGTTAAAGGAGCACTAACCTGTAACAATCAGCTAGAAGTTCAGTGTCTCCACATCCAAGACTACATGCTGACAGGCAATAAACAGCATGTAAAATGAGCCAGCTTGGTCCGCCCCAGGTGTGA